TGCTGCTTTTTCAATTGGGTGAATTATTTCTACTTCCTGTCTTTTAAAGAGTTGCTGGCTCACATAGGTTATCAGATTTCCATCCCAGTGGCTGCTGCATATCCACAGTAAGTGAATGATCTCTCAAAGGTACTTTGGGATGAAAGCTAGTGGATAAATGAGAAGAATTATATTTTTATTTCTTCTCTTTGCAGGGATTATTCTATAACTTTTGTGTTTAGCTTGGAGGGCTCTTATGATTTGACTTCTTTTCTGAATAAGCGAAACAGTCACCCAGATGGCAAGCACTTCACATTTTAGCATAGTGTAATTCGATTTGGAAGTTCAATGAAATTCACTTGGAAATGTCCCTCCAGTAATGTTTCCCCTCTTAAAAAAATTCAGTTTCAAATTCCTGGTTTCATGCAAAAACAAGCTCCAAGGAGGCTGAGTGGTGAGTGGCTAAAAAAAATTACTTTTAACCATTAAAAGAAATGTTCAAAATAAATGGTGTTCTCTTCCAATCTTCTGAGGATTTTACTAGAGAAGTGGCATTTACTGTGTAATTTTTGACTTTCAGTACCTTTTATAATATTCTTGTGAATACTATCCCCAAATTTATTTTTGGTTTGTTTGTTTAGGAAGCTCAGGGAGTATTTCATTCAGTCGATATTTATAGGAGGCCTTTTCTGTGCAATATATTGTATGGTAAAAGAAAGATGATAAGACAGTCTCTTTCTTCCAGATATATTCAAATCTTAAATCTATGAAGTTACAAAAATCACTAAAAACATTAGAAAAGAATTGTATGAGTCTATCAAATGCATGTATTTTAACTCATATGCTGCTAATCTACCACGAATTTCTAACATTTATGAATCTGGCATTCTCCAAAAGTGGCATTCGTAAGGTTCTGATTCCTACTAAGTCCAAACTGACTTAAGCAACTCAATTCCCATATTTAAAATCTCCCCTCCTCATACTGTGTTTATACACACACATATATGAGTGAGTAGCGGAACTCAGGATATCACAGTATTTTCTTTAAAATCTTATATTATTTAAAAATATCTCTTTATTCAAGCTCCTAAAGAACTAATCACTACGTGAAATTCTCATCTTAAAGCACTTTCAAATTATGAAGCTGTAGTAAATCAAACCTTCCCTACTGTTTAGAGCTAACGTAAGATTTTTTGTTCTACAAATAAATATCTGTATATATAAAAGCTCTACTTATTTGGACCTGAGTACCATTACTGCGACAGGGGACTGTGGGAACTCGGATGCAAGGCCCATCAGAATCAACTGTCTGGAATAAGTTCACGGAACGTGTTGTCTCTAGAATATACAGGAACATCTGCATCAACTCTCAGTCCAGCATAAGATATGTTGATTACTCATCAGTGGGGAGTTTTAAGTTTTACCCACTTATTTAGGATAAGAAATCTCTACATGTTATTTTACATGTTTTCATTTTCTGTAAACAGGATGACCTAATACTAGCAGATAATTCTAAGTGCTGCAAATGTAATAACAGAAGCTTGTACATCTGTACCATATACCTATGAGAACCTCTCAACACTGAGGAAACAGAATGATTCCTAACAGCACCTATGTGAGGTGTCAGGGATTGCTCTCTTCAACTTTATACTTGGCAACTCAATCAGCTGTCTGTACCATAGCAGTGCTGGAGTATTTGATAAGGGTGTTCCATTTTCGGTCCCAAACTGTATTAAAGAAAAAGGATTTTTCTGAGATTTAAGTGAGATTTTCATGTATCTTGTCTAATTTAATTGAAATCCAATTGAAATCCAGATCAGACATGGCCAGCTTATTCTATTATTCCAACATGGACATAGTTTGAGCCACTCAACCTCTACCGCTTACATTTTAAATTAACAGGAATTTAAATTAAATGACTGAAATTCCAAATTGAGATGACTCTCTGCTGAATTCTACTGACACAGAGAAAGGCACCAAGAAGAGAATATTAGAAGTTCCCTTAAAGTCACAGAGTAATTAATACATAAAGAATTAACATATGTTAAAATAGTTTGGTTTCTCTAGCTACATTTTTATAAAAAGTATTTACATAATTGCATTTTGTGAACAATAAATGACATAATACAAAATACCTTGTATCAGGTATTAAGGCACAATTTGTGTTTTCTGGATGAGACGTCCATACTTCATAGCAGCTGCATTTATTTTAGAGTAAAATTGGCTCAGGTGAGCATGGTTTGAAATTTAATATCCATGCTCCCAGCACCAATAAATAGATATGACACAGCAATGTATATGAAGAAACACCAAAGAATCTGCCTGAAGTTTCGAAATCAATATGACTACCACCTGATGTCTGCAGCCATGATAATTACCAATTAAAGTGGAGATGAATGAGGAGCTGGCATCAAAAGGACATCTGCCCCTTCCTCTCTCAGATCTGTGTGATTCCAGGTGAAAAAGGGGATCCTTTAAAGAAAACCAGAAAAGCCATTATGTATTTGCCAACTTTAATAAGAATTTAATTTCTCAGAAAAAATACATTCAACCTTGATTATTTACAAAACAGGTATTGTAAATAGGGCACCAGTGAGAAACATCAAGTTATTTAGGAACAAACTGGATTTTATAAATAAACACGTGGGTTTTCAGGCCCATGTGGGTTTTCTCACTTTTCTCAAAAAGGATGCAGGTGGGGCTTCCCTGGTGGCGCAGTGCTTGAGAGTCCGCCTGCCGATGCAGGAGACGCGGGTTCGTGCCCCGTTTCGGGAAGATCCCACATGCCGCGGAGCGGCTGGGCCCGTGAGCCATGGCCACTGAGCCTGCGCGTCCGGAGCCTGTGCTCCGCAAATGGGAGAGGCCACAACAGTGAGAGGCCCGCATAATGCAAGGAAAAAAAAAAAAAAAAAAAAGGATGCAGGTGCTGAAATGAAAGAAATTTGCAGTTTTTAATCACTTGATCAGCCAGTATTAGTTATTCTGAGATGTGTCAGTTAAATATTCCAAATGAATGGAGACTTGCTGAAAAAAAAAAAAAGAAGGTTAGTAAAAAGGAGACTCTGATAAACATGGAAATGGGCATTTATTCCACAAAGGCCATTACTGATTTTTTGAATAATCTCTAAAAGAAAATGATAAAATTTTCTATCAATAATTTGGAATATTTATTTCCAATCATTTTTATTCTTCATTGCATATTCTTTGTATAGACATCTAATATTTAATAATTTAGAGAAGGATTACTGCATAAATAATTACTGGGCTATACATGTAGAAGTTGATGCCATATTATGAACAATATTTCAGTATGGTTTCGCACAAATGAGATTTTGAAAATAAACATTTCCATGAAAAACTACTACTTTATTGGTTCCTATTGCAATCACATAACCACAGAACTTTTTCTGAATGTTCTCAGATTGCAAAATTCTCATTAATGGATATTTTTACAAGTAATCTCCATTAAGTGTGTTATGAGTGGTTTCAGTTTAAAAAAAAAAAGTAGTCTGGAAAAGTGACAATAAAAATCAGTATAGAGGGGCTTCCCTGGTGGCGCAGTGGTTGAGAGTCCGCCTGCCGATGCAGGGGACACAGGTTCGTGCCCCGGTCCGGGAGGATCCCACATGCCGCGGAGCAGCTGGGCCCATGAGCCATGGCCGCTGAGCCTGCGCGTCCGGAGCCTGTGCTCCGCAGCGGGAGAGGCCACAGCAGTGAGAAGCCCGCGTACCGCAAAAAAACAAAAAAATTAAAAATCAATATAGAAAATTTTGTCGGAAAAAAACCCCCACTTCGCAATAGAATATTGTCAATACTGCCCACTGTGGCATCTATAAGTAGTCCCGCCCACCTGTGAATAATGAACCTGTAAACAATCCAAAGTCCTGAGGAACCTTTAAGGGTTGCATGCACTTTTCTAGAACTTGATCTGGACTTTCCTAGACAGCCTAGACAGCCTATTTACTCCACATTATCTATGCCATCCTTTTCTTGCCATTCTTATCCAACACACATTCTTCTTTCTCTCTATGATACTCTAAAATCACCATTTTGATCCTGCCATTTCACGACCTTTCTGTTAAGTGCAGAGTTCACCTGACTCTTATAAAACTCCAGTCTTGTTCTTGGAACTGAACCATAGCCTAGAGAACAAATGTGGCCTCTGAATCCAGAGGTGTGGCTAAACTGATATTTTAAGCCAGAAAAAAAAAAGTTTATCTATTTATACACTTCACACTTCACATGAATCAGCAGACAGAAAGAATGCCAGTAAATAATTTGAAACATTTTTGTGTTCGCTTCCCACAGACAATAGATTTGCAATGAAATGAAAAGAAAATGTTTGTTGAAATGAGCTAGAATGACTGGTCTACCCAGCTAATACTTAAGCGGAAAGGGTTTCATCTAAATTTGCCAAACACATCCAGAGTGTTATATGGAGGAGGAAATGATCAAGTCTATGAATGAAATACTTGTTTACCCCTTTAGTCACTGCCACTTTATAGAATATTTGGTAAAAATAGGTAGGGTATACATACTGCACTTGCTCTAATACAGTCAAATGTCCAAATGTTTGCTCATAGAAAGCAGTTGAAGAAATATACTGAACTACTTTCTTAAATCAAGATGTTTGGGGGCTTCCCTGGTGGTGCAGTGGTTGAGAGTCCGCCTGCCGATGCAGGGGACACGGG